AGACTTTCTGACACTTTTAACCTTTGGAGCCCAAACTCAAACCAATCACACACCGCCTTATGGTTTAATTATTCTCTAATATAAGCATAATGGTTTGTAAGATTTTTTTTTTATAATTTGTATGTGAAACTACCTCCGTATAATTTAACGTATCTTTCATGGTCAAAATTTATATAGCTCCATATTTTTTCAATCCAACCTATGGATGGTGATTTTCCCCCACCTGGTGGGGAACCCAGTTCACCTGACTCGGACGGGGACGGGGATTCCCTGCTAAAACAGGTCCCGGGGCCGTGGACGGGGATCCCCGGTAGAATCAAACTAAATGATACTATTTATGGGGGTTGACCGAGTTTTTATCGGGTTTTGACCGGGGATTGCTAGAGATTTGACAGGGGACAGAATGATAATCCCCGTACCCGCGGGGGCCCGGGGAATGTTACTACAAACCGGGGTCGGGGCCGGGGATTACAAAACCCGCTCTCATCCCCGCCTCATTGTCATGCCTAATCGAACCATAATTACAATGGCAAGTCAAAACATTATAATAAGAGTAAATTTTTTTTTTGTTCTTGTAGTTTGTTAAAAATTGTAATTTCCATACACGTGGTTTAGAAATTGCAGTTTTCGTCCTTATCATTTGTAATTCATTGGTATTTTTTTTTCTTATAATTTACAAGTTAGTGTTGTTTTGGTCCCTGTGGTTTATAGTTCTTTAATGTTTTGGTCCTTTGTACTTAAAAGGTATTAATTGATCCATGGACGAGAATAGCAATGGTTGCAAACCATAGGGACTAAAATCGTAATTTCTATACCACATGGATGAAAATCAAAATTATTAACAAACCACAAGGATAAAATAGTAATTTACTCCTAAATTAATATAGAGTAAACTACAAATTAGGTCGATATGGTTTGTTGAAAATAACATTTAATGAAATTATTAGGGATGGACCAAATATGAACCTTTTTGCAAACCATGATGGTTATCTTGTAATATTAAGACTGTGGTGACAAAAAATGTTATTTTTAACAAACCACATGGACCAAATTTGTTGCTTACTCAATAATATATTTAGGGGGTGTTTGGTTAGAGGTATTAGGAAGTAATCAATGAGAATGAAAGTAAAAGAAACTGTTTGATTTTATACTAGTTGTGTACCCACGCAATGTGGCGGGAGCCATGAGTTTTAACGATTTTGAAGTTCTACTGGTTTTATAAGATAAGATTTAACGATGATATATGTTACACTTGGTCTTTACATATTAATACAATTTGAATAAATGAGAGTTATGGTTCCAATTACAGACTATCGATGAAAAAAAGTGTATGACACTTTAAAATCCAATATATTTAAAATCCAACATATTTAAACGACTCCACAAATGTGTTCGATTTACACCAAGAGCAAAGAACCAAGAAACTTGAGTTTTAAGATAAACCCTCAAAACCAATAAAGAAAACTATAAATTTGATAGATCATAAGCCATGAAAAAACCAAAAAAGATGAGTTTTAAAATGAAACTTCAACTACTTACCCTCTTTCTTGTCCAGAAACACAGATTAAGGTTGAATTAATACATGTATATATATATATTTAAAAAAAAACCCAAGAACATATTAATTCAGAACATATTATACAGTGCAATTTGGACAGCCTAACCCCAAAATATATAGTGTGTATATATATATATATATATATATATAAATAACTATAAAATTATAAATCGTAAATATTAAAAATATTTTTTCACAATATATAAAATATATAATAATATAATTAAGTCAAAAACTATTTAACATTGGACTCATTTCGAAGGTATTAACGAGACGATTATAACGGTGTAACTTGTTAAAATAAAAATGTATTTTTTAAACATGTTTTAATTGATATACGATTATGTATGTTAATTTGATAAATGTTTAAAAATGAAACATTTAAAAATAAAAGATGTAAATTAAATTAATTAACTAATTATAAGGGTATAAAGTGTAAATTTAAAATTATAATTTTAAAAAAATCGGTTGTGACATGATGAGTGTATGTTAGGGGGTGAGTGTATATGATGAGAGGAAGGGGTGAAAAAGTAGTATAAAGGGTATCTTGATCATTTAGTATTTTAAGACTTTAAGACTTTTATTAAATTTTGTAATTTTTAAAACATGTTTTAATTGATATACGATTATGTATGTTAATTTGATAAAGGTTTAAAATGAAACATTTAAAAGTAAAGGACGTAAAATAAATTAATTAACTAATTATAGGGGTATAAAGTGTAAATTTAAAATTATAATTTTAAAAAAATCGGTTGTGAAATGGTGAGTGTATATGAGGAGAGGAAGGGGTGAAAAAGTAGTATAAATGATATCTTGGTCATTTAGTATTTTAAGACTTTAAGACTTTTACTAAATTTGCTTAATAAGATAGTATAGATAATATAATGGGCTCATTCCCCTAGTAACCCAAATTTTGATTCCAGGTTAAACTGGGAGCAATGAAAATTTGTTATCATTTTCATTCCTCTGACTGAACCAAATACCCTCTTAGACTATAATTAGTAAATGATAAGAGTATTATAGTAAACTTTTAATATAATATCATAATACTAAAAATCATAGCAAAAATATGCATTCCAAGATGTGTGGAAATTTTATAAGTTTGTTGGAATTAGGGGCCGTTTATCAAACATTTACTCGATAAGCGCTTACAGGTAAAATTTAACATTATTATTTACTTACCGGGTAAGATTTTGGTCCACCAAAACGACATTGTATGCAATAATTTACCCGGTAAGCGCTTACCATGGTAAGAGTCGTTGGTCTCACTTACAGGGTAAGATTCTTGGTCCTTACTGTTGGGTCACCTATTGATTTGGTGATGACCCACTGATCTGTTCCTCTACCTTAAGCAACACTTAGTAGTTATTGGTTCTTTGTAAGTTGGTGTCTTGGTACGTACTTAAAGCCATTGGCAAAATCGAAGACTAGCCGATGTGAAGACAGAAGGTCACCGATGCGGTGTTGTGGATCAACTGTCTAA